GAAACAGAGGCGAAACAGAGCAGTTTCTACTAGAGCAGAGCATGTGGGAATAAGGTGTTTTCCGGCACATTGAGGGCGTCTCCAGCTGTGAAGACCAGCTATGAAGTTAGCTATGAGTTTAGGGTTTTTACTTTTGTCTCGGCAATGATATACAGTTTAGGATTTGTGGAAAAAGTTTAGATATTTTTGTTAAAGAGAGTAAATTAGGGTGTTGAAGAGGAAGCAAATTAGGGTAAATGGTATAAGAATAAATTATTTCCGTTTAATTAATGTAGTTAATTATTTATTTCATTTTCTTGTCCTAAAAACCTGTATATATAGAACTGTAATAGTCAATAGAATACACACAAAAAAATATAGTTCTTTATTCAAAAAAAAAATAAACACGAAATAGGAGTTTTAGGTAAAAAATCCCTAAAGTTTTTACAAACCTTATTCGGCCTTTAATGCCGAAACAAAAAAAAACTTTAAAGTGGTCAACCTTCATAGCCAGCCACCATCACCACCTTTGCCAGCCTTTATAGCTGACCATTAGCCAAGTTGCACCTCTTCAGCCGCCTTACCCTACTCCAGCTGACTTGCTCCGGCCACCTCTAGTTTTCTGCCACAGTTATGTTGCCGAACAACTCTATTTCTCTGCCACAGTTGCTATGCTGCCATTGCTCTGTTTTTCTACTGCTCTATTTTTCTGCAGCAGTTGCTCTGTTTTTCATATTGCAACTGCTCTTTTTTTTTTCTGTGGTAACTGTTTTCTCTTGTTTCTGTGTGCCCTAACTTTGTGCCCTCTTTTGAGCGCCCCGCTCTGAATCTCCCTGTTTCTGCATGCTTGTTTCATGCCACCTCCTGCGTGCAGCCACCAGATGTGCGATCTCCAGCTCCTGTTCCATTTGACCTTAATTGCCAGTAAATTAAATGATTTTAGAAGTAACATCCTATGATACTAGAGCAATATTTCCACATTGAGAAATTTCATCAACGTATTTCAGCCAATTGCTTTATAGGCAAAGATTGTTTAAGTTGGTCCCCATTAATCTGGATTATCCTTAACAGTAAAGGGAAACTTAGCCATCTTCTGGGAACCGGACCCAAAGCTGGAGATTCCACATTTGATGTGTGGGACGAAGAGGATTCTATGACCTTGGCATAGCGATGGAAGTCTGTAAGACTGCGACGTTCCTGTCCACAACAAAAGCAATGTAAATGCAATTGACTAAATCTACTATGAAGTCAAGGATGCCGCACAAATTTGTGACTTAACAGTCAAGATAATGTCCACCAAACATGGAAACAGGTTAGTAAATTAATATTTTAACTTGTTAAATAACAGGTGGCGGAAATTGGATAAGTACCACAACATGACCACAGATTGCAATAAGATCGCAGTTTGACTTCAGAAATTTGTAGAAAAAAGTCGTGCATATGAATTTCTAGCAAGACTAACTAAATCCCGAATGCGATTAGGTGCGAGTATCAATCTTCAGAAAAGAGGAAATGTTGTCACTCGATGAGATAATTTCATTGTAATAGCGGAAGAAAGCAAGAAAGGGGTTATGCTAGAACCTTGCACCATTGATAGTTCAGTCTTGATATCTCGAGGTTCAAAACCTCGTCAACGATCAAAAGAAGTGAGTCACCATGAAAACTTAACTTCAGAAGCGAATAACAGGGACAATATTCAGTATACCCTTTGTAAAAAAATCCAGACACACCAAAGACAAGTGTTGAAAATAGCACAAAAAGCCTAGTACCTCTATTAAAAAATGGAGATATAAAAGTACCTCAAAGAAAATTTTTAATTAGGTGTATACAGCTAACCAACAAGAAGAAGCACCGATTGATCTCATTGTTGTCTAGACCGAGATTGAACGAATATGAAATCAATTGAAGGACCTTGTGAAGCCTACAATTAGAAGTGTAATTTAACACTTGGATATACTTTCTTTTCCACACGATTTGGATGCTTCAAAGAAAACATTTGAAAACTCTTGGATTGTAGGCTCACGAGCTATTAAGCATATAAATAATATTTCTAAGCTTTTTTATGCATATGTCCCTTGTCCAAGTAACTAGAAGATTGTCACTGCAGATGGT